CCCTACACTCCAGCCCCTGATGTTTTTTTCCTAACCTGAACCGTGACCCTAACACTCCAGCCTCTGATGTTTTTTCCTAACCTGAACCGTGACCCTAACACTCCAGCCCTGATGTTTTTTTCCTAATCTGAACCGTGACCCTAACACTCCAGCCCTGATGTTTTTTTCCTAATCTGAACCGTGACCCTAACACTCCAGCCCTGATGTTTTTTTCCTAACCTGAACCGTGACCCTAACACTCCAGCCCTGATGTTTTTTTCCCTAACCTGAACCGTGACCCTAACCGTGACCCTAACACTCCAGCCCCTGATGTTATTCAATATTCCCCCTTTAAATAATAAGTGAACAAATAAATTCGCCCTTGGCCATTAAACGGCAGTTTGGTTTTTAAAATGAAATGAGACCAAGAATCGCGTTTTTTTTTTTTAATATTTTGGCTTCATTTTTCGGACATTTAAATAATTCTGGACGCCTATTCAATAGTATGATTTTTATCATGACTACGTGAATGGGTAAGCTTCGTTTCAACAATGGGCTGTTATCCCTATAAACAATGTTAAATTATTCTTCAAATGCTCAGTTTATCTTTCCAAAACAAATAATTTCTTGATTTAAAAAAATTCATGCTGTCTTCATGGAAATCAAAGCCAAAAGATTGCACATTATCGGTAAATCTCTTCCGCATTGCGTTTACCATGAGGTCGCTGAACTGTCATTAATTCAGACACGTGGGCACCATCCAGCATTTTGATTGGTTAACTAGCGACTTGACCTATCCAGACAATCAACACGTCTCGTGTGCATTTAAAACATGGCTGATATCGTATCGTATCGAGCGTTTACATGTGACTGAAATCATTTGCCTACGGTGAAACTAAGATGAATTTTACTTGCATTTCATAACATTTCAACAGATTTATTTTCCGTGCGTTACTATAATCACTACTGACAAATAATCACCAATTTCAACACTTTGAAAACAAGTAAGTTATTCACTTGTGAACCGCAGCATGGCCGGATTGCACTACCGTAGGTAGCGTGATCATTTGCTACTAAGCAGTGCATTCGTGTTTGTTTTTATTTGAAACTTCTTTTAGAATATACTTTTTGTTACCAAGAAACTTAAAAAAAATAAATACATATTACATTAAATGAACTGAGTATTTTTTTTTACCATGTGAACAGTTTTTTTTTTGATTGACCGTAATCTTTTTCGTAACGCCTATTTCACCAACGTAAGGCCTTTCACTCTTCTCTGACGCCTATTCAAGAGATTGTACAGTGTGTTGTTTGTTTTGTGCATGTGTTGTGGGCAAAAAAAGATTACCTCAAGTGTTAGGCAGACGTCGGCCAGATAGGGAATACCCTGGCGCTAATTTCACGGTTTTACCCAAACATTCAATTTTGACTGGTGCCTAATTGGTGTGAAAATTATCACCTTTTCTATTGTACTGACACCTAATCCAGGGTAGCGCTTATATGAGGTATTATACGGTACACAAAAGCACTGCTCTAGAATAGATAAAACTAAAAAGCAATGTGAACACAATTGACAAATAGAGCTTTCATACCTGTATTGTTTTATCAACCCATCTATTACCACCATTACCATGACTACCATCTCCATGTAACACCTGGCGACCTAGGGCACTCAACCTGTCATCTGGGTCATAGGTCAAAGGTCGATCCAAACATAATAATAATATGGCCTTTTCTATTTTCTCCAGCGACTTCTTATTTACTTTATCTAGAACAAATAATTATCAAACAAGTTGAATAAATATTCAAAAAAAAAAAAAAAAAACCTTAGAATTTAATCATCTTTTTAACTTGAGTTCAAATTTCATTTACCAATTTGGCAAACTGAGAAATAACATATAAAAAAGAGCAAACAAATTTGACATGAAGGTCTGGTGGTGAAAAGGTTAAAGTTCATACAAGTGGTATAGAACTCCCACTTATAAAGTAGTATAGAGCCCGTATGACTTTAATGTTAGTTTTGTGGTATAGCACACCATGTGGTTTTGTGTTGCTTATAGAGGTAACCTAATAATGTTTGTTCATATGCATGTATTATAACATGATGATTATGTTTATACTTCAAATATTAATTCAAGCTATTAAATATGTCAGATAAGAGTCCCAAGACCACTCATTTGCTTTCAAGTGTACAAATTATTTGTAATTACAGAAGGTCCCTAAATCTCACCTAATTTCTTGAGTTTCTTGTAAACCTTCCCCCATGTATTTCTGTGTTCTGTCGTAAGAATACCCACTGGGTCAGTGGCTTGTGGTGACATACTACAGATCTTTTCCAACTGGTTAAAGAGTTCCTCCATAGTGAGATGCTTACCATCGCTGTGATATACGTCCAATTCAAAGAACTGCAAAAGAAGTAGAATCTGTTTTAACCTCAGAATGTTACGGTAAATATTGACAAAAAGCTCCCTCCATGTACAAGAAATGCATGCTGGTGACTGTTCATATATTTCTTTTGACAGCATCTTTACCAGCCATAGTTTGTTTATCGGTCATTGTCTCATCACTATTACCATGGCAAGTCCTTCTAAATGAGAGTGTATTAAAGAGCGCCCTCTTTGGCAGTCCAACATTCTGCCATTTTGTTTTAAGACTTAATTCTATACCAACTCTGATTGGAAGCACGTTTTACAAGCAAGACATTCAGATTTCTAAAGATGTCAAATAATGGTTCTCGGTTGATAATGTAGACCATGGTTTCATTTGCAGACAAGGAATCCCTATCCTTTTTTTCTTACAATGCGAAAGGATATGAGAAAATGGAGTCAATCATCAAGTGGATATAATCTGTTCTTTGCTTGGTTTATTGACATGCACTGAGAACAAGCACTTAGGATTGTTATTATTCCGTATTGCTCAAAAGATGCCACATGGGATTGATAGGGTACAACCAACATGTTAAAGTACATGTACATACATTCCCATCAACAGACAGTAATTATCACATGATCACTGTGACATATCACTAAATTATATTTCACAATGGAACGTGGTGATATGCATGCTAAAGTTCATCAGTCCATGTGTGATTCAACGAAACATGAAGAAAACCAATCGATAGTACCATTTTTATTGCTGTGACATCAAAATTCAAGACTATAACACTGATGACTAAAAGTTTATTTTTAAATGAATATTTCTAAGAAGAATAAATTTGCCAATTTCCGATCATACAATGTACCTGCAAATGACTCACTTAGATGCCATGCCTAGTTAGTAAAATATGACAAACAAGTGTAGTTCTGAAAATCAACCATCATCTGGGTGTCAGTTTTTGAACATTTCAATCTTTCCTGACGCCTAGATTAGAGTCTACTTAGAGTCTATACTTAGAGTCGATATCATATAAAAAGTAACTAATCTGATTTTAGAAGAAAACCACAATAATAAATCACAGGAAAGTGACAATCACCTGATACAGCATGGTACTTACATGATTATTATGTGCTACTACAATATGCCTTGGAGCATTGCTCTTATTACCAGGATAAACAACGATGGAATCTCTTTTAGTCCCTGGTATACGACATGATGATAGTAATTTGTAATACTGATCCATACATAAGGGGTGCCCACCCATCATATCAATTGGAATCTTTTCTCTAAAATTAAAAATATGCACACATTTAAAAACATTGAAATATAATATAGTGGAGGGGTCATCAACTGTGCACACACAGAAATTGAGTCCTAATTTCTTATTACCTCCATGCTATAACAATGCATGTTTTCGTTTGTAAACAACAACATGCTATGTTTGCTACATGCACATATGACGACTCCCCCACTATAACACTAGTGCCTCAATTTCACATAATGGTCGCTATTCACAGAACTACTTCAAAATTATAGTATAGCAACATGTAATTTTAAAACACCAACATATCTTAGTGTAGAATACCCTGAATGCAGCATACGTTTTGATATATTTGTTGTACTGGGTTCAGTTCCCAGTTAAATGTCTCTTGAAATTTTTGGAAAAAAATCTACCTGTATATTGCATGTTTGGTAGTATTGGTACATGGCAGAGGTGTTCAACCATGTTCTTGTCAAAAGGCAATTAGATTGTGCTGTATAGGACATAGCATTTATTTACATTTTGCATACATACATATGTTTGTACATTTGTACCTGAAGTTAAAATAACAATGTTATTTTGCTACTGTTTTGCTGGTTGGCAGAAATGAAAAACAAATAAACGATCTATACCAGTGTTAAGCAGGCCTGGTTAAACACAGTCACCTGCAGACATAACCAGTATTTGAAATTTCTCAAAATTGTTTACCAGACACCAGGGCAGGTAACTTTTAAAGTTAGCTGCTCTTCCAGTTACCTGCCATGCATTAATGATTATTTTCAAATGTGTAAGCACCCCAAAGACTCAACATTCTACTTACACTAAAACAGATAATTTAAATTCCCCATTTTGAATTGTTGCATTCTCTATAATATGTTTCAGAGAAGAATGGCTTTAAACTTTTTCCAATAATATTATTTAGTGAAACTGCATTCCAAAATTTTAAATGGCCATGAACAAATTCTACCAAAGCACCAGAAATGTAAATTTAAATGTTTACCAGCCTGAATGTAAATATAATCGCCTTGGGCATACGGATGGACAGTAATTTCAAACACTGCCTCCATGGTACGCCCGAGTCACACATGTTAGCTAATAAATTTTGGGCTTAGTTAGTTGAAACCTTTTTGGTGCTCACCCAAAAGCAGGAATTACTTAGAATCTACTGGGTAGACTTCTAGTTTTCTAGTAAACACAGTAAAAAAAAAAACTTGCCTGTCAATGACATCTTTATAATCTAATGCTCCACATATCAGCTTGGCAGCAAAACTAGAATAATAATAATAATAATTATAATAATAATAATAGAGACGTTTAAATAATTACAATAACAAGAACTGGACACTACATATTATTTGTTTGATTTTATTGTACATCATTTAATTTAGAGAAAGTCCAGCACTTAATTTCACTTAGATGTCATTATTCACATCTGTAGTTGAACCTAACCAATATTATTTTTTTCAAATATGGTTTATTTGGCCTAAGTGATATCAGAAGTTTATGGCTATGGGAATGATACTACTGGTCCTGTATTCTACTGTACATTCAAAGACTGACAATCAAATCACACCTCAACTGATCTTTTTCACTTTTGAAATCCATAAGTGGGAAGGCGACTCCAGGACTGGAATGAACCACTACAGGTGTTCTGTAATCTAAATATGCTGCATTTAACCACCATTCAGAAAGCTGTAATGAACAGAACAAAACAAATCAGTTACATCCTCGATCATGTGACGTTACACAACACTGTGTTGTCACACAAAATGTCAAAAACTGTTGAAAAGTGTCAAAGCAAGATGTGTGCATCAAACAACAACAATTAAGTAATGCCTTAATTTCCATGAAGGGAATATTTACAACAAACTATGCACATAAGCAGAGGCATGATTTCAACGAATGGCTTTGCTTCAAAAGAAACTACAATCAGGCAAATGAGAGGGCCTCAACATTTGGTAGAATGAGTATAAACATTTAGTAGAATAGGCCTAAACATTTAGTAGAATAGGCCTAAACATTTGGTAGAATGGGTATAAACATTTAGTAGAATAGGCCTAAACATTTAGTAGAATGGGCCTAAACATTTGGTAGAATGAGTATAAACATTTAGTAGAATAGGCCTAAAAATTTAGTAAAATGTACCTCAACATTTGGTAGAATGGGTATAAAAATTCAGTAAAATGGGCCTCAACATTTGGTAGAATAGGTATAAACATTTAGTAGAATGGACCTCAACATTTAGTAGAATGGGCCGCAACATTTGGTAGAATGGGCCTCAACATTTGGTAGAATGAGTATAAACATTTAGTAGATAGGCCTCAACATTTGGTAGAATGGGTATAAACATTTGGTAGAATGGGCCTAAAAATTTAGTAAAATGGGCCTCAACATTTGGTAGAATGAGTATAAACATTTGGTAGAATAGGCCTAAAAATTTAGTAAAATGGGCCTCAACATTTGGTAGAATAGGTATAAAAATTTAGTAAAATGGGCCTCAACATTTGGTAGAATGAGTATAAACATTTGGTAGAATAGGCCTAAAAATTTAGTAAAATGGGCCTCAACATTTGGTAGAATAGGTATAAAAA